CAGATTTGGAAGTTACTTCATGTCATTAGGGGCCAAATCCTGGGAGGTTCTGAGTGCTTCCTGACAGGTACTGAGTACAATGATATTCTGTGCTGACTAATGGGAGTGGTCTACACAAGGTAACCTCTCTCTTCAGAATTGGCCCACACTATGAAAGAGACGGAGAACCAAGTTTGAGTAGGGAGGAACCACATGTCGCCTTCTACGTGGATCTTATGAGAGCTGTCTCCATTCTTACCTTGAAATTCAGTTAGCATAGGAAGAATGGTTTTATGGCTTAAAACCCTAAACTGGGCACTCGGGAGATCTGGATGCAATTTCCACCTCTGCCACCTTTGGCAAGTCATTTAATCCCTCTGCGCCTTCATTCCCCATCTGTAAAGTGAGGATAATACTTCCTTTATCCACCCTTTGTCAGTTTAGATAGGACAGGGGCTGTCTCATACTGAGTCCCCAATCTATAATAAATGTAATTCTCTGGTGGCTGGACCACCTCCTCAGCTTCCTAACAGTGTGTCACATGCACATCCTTCGACTACAGTTTCTAGTGCTATGCAATGCTATGGATTTTCTCATCCCACTTGAGTTTTTGAGATTTTTAATTTTTTCCCAACCTGAAGGGAGTCGAAAAAGTTGAAATCTCAAAAATGTTCATGAATTTATAATCCAATTTTTTTTTCCAGATTGGGTCAATTGAAATGTTGCCTTTCGATCACTTTGAAATGTTTCATTTTTATTTCAACCTTTTAAAAAAATGTACTTTATTTTTGTGTGTAAATTTCAAAGCGAAAAGATGTTTTGACAATTTCAGAACTACTTTGTCAAATTTTTTGAAATAGGAAACTGGTCGAAACCGACCTTTTCCTGTGCACAGTTTCGGTTTTGACAAATGGACATTTTCAAATGAAAAAACATCGTGTTGAGAAAATTCCCAACCGCTTCAATAGTTTCCTATTCAAAGAGGAGACTGTTCATCACAGACAGACCTGCTTTCCAGTGCCAAATGCTGAATTTACAATTTAACTGTAGTACAGCAACTTTCATGACCTATTGTACATCAATCTGTGCTCTAAATTGCCACTCAAATATACAAATAATCTTTCTGTCAAGTCCAGCCATTTCTCATTTTAATAGTCCCCAGCAACACTGAATGCTAATGACTTTTTAATGGAGATTCTTTTTGTTTGCGGTTATATTTTAGCTGAAGAGGGTGTATGATCTCTTTTGAAATGAACATGATAAAGCACCACAGCTGATGGTTTAATCTTTGTCTGAGTATCTTTATGGCATAGACGCATGGCATGACACTAACGAGATTTTAAGATTTGTAATGGTGTGGCAATAGGACCCAGCTGCAGTGTAATTACCACGTTTTTCTGTAGCTCTTTCCTGTAGTATGCTTTGCATTTATTATTAGGAGTCAAAAATAAGGCTTCTATAAAAATCCTGTTTTCTATCCCTGAATCGGGAGATTTCAGGAAGGTCGATGTTGATGATAGAGGTTTTTTTTCCCAGAGTATTTTTCTATGTAAGCATATGTGTCTGATTGTGAGTATTTGTGCCAGTCCTATCCATGAATTGTATTTTGGTATCTTCATTGAAACAAATTCTGCCCATACACACCTACCTGTTGAGGGTTAGCTATGTCCAACGATCCCCCCCAGCTCATGGTACATAGCTGGACATGTTAGCTGAGTTTTATTGCCTACTACATCTTGTGAACTCTGGATGAATTCTGGCTGGCAACTCAATTCATACATAAGGCTGCTAGATTTCTATGACTTTCTGTTCTTTCCCCTGCCCTTGTGCGCAATTGTACATCTAAGGGCAGGATTTAGCCCAGTGTAATTTACATAGACTGTATGATCCAGTGGCTGGAAATGAAACTAGGCAAATCCAAGACTAGAAATAAAGCATATTTTTTTAATAGTGAGCATAATTAACCATTAGAAGAGTTTAGTTAGGGATGTGGTGGATTGTCCATCACATGAAATCTTTAAAATCAAGACTGGATGTCTTTCCAAAAGATGCACTGTAGCTCAAATAGAAGATATGGTCTTGATGCATGAATCACTGGATGAAGTTCTCTGGCCCGTGTTTTGCAGTCTAGATGAACATAATGATCCCTTCTGGCCTTAAAAATCTGTGAGACTATGAGTACGTCTACACTGCACACCACTTGCATCAGCATGTAGGGTATGTGGAGCTACACGCCGCAGTGAAAAGCAGGCTGCATCGACTTGGCGGTATGTCGCTCTGAGTGTCAGTGTAAGGCTTTTGCTGTGGGGAGGTAGCGGGGAAAGGCTCTGGCAGCAGCTGCTGGAGCCTTTTCCCACTGCCTCTGTCGCCAGAGTCTTTCCCTGTGGCGGGGAAAGATGCCAGCAGCAGAGAGGCAGCAGGATACTACACAGCTAAAAATAGCAGCGTAAACAGGCAAGGCCCTGCTTGGGTGTGTAGAGCCGTATAGGGTGCATACCCACAGCGTTCAGGCATGAATTTACTCGCCCAAGCAGTGCCTCACCGTCTGCACTGCTGTGCTAGCTGGTTGAGCAGTGAATGTACTCTGCACACTGCCGAAAGGAGTATGCCATGTAGATGTACAGTGAGTTACCCAAGCTTGGAGGAGATGGGCCGAAGCATACCAAAATGATGCCAGTCTGTCTGCATCCCTAAGTTCCGCCCTCGCCCTTCGTTTCAGCTAGCAGTCTTACCCTACGGTGATTTGGAACCAACAGTCACAGATACTGCTCTGGAAACATCCCTGCCCGCAGTCATCTAGGGAGAACAGTGAGCCTGTTGGGACAATGAATTCTTCCTCGTAAAGTCGTGCTTTATACTTAGGTTCTGTTTATGAAGGGTTGAGAAATTATTAATAGGTGTTTTAATAAATGACTAATCAACTGGCATAGTTTATACAGTCCAGCGGGCCAATAGGTTGCTTAAAACCATAGCTTGTAAGTGTATGTATAACACCTTCTACTGTTGTGCTTAAATAATCTGGTACTAAAGTCTGTAACATACTTATACATCTATTAATTATTTATCAGCCCTTTATTAACCATTGATAAGTAAAACCTTAATATAAAGTGTGATCTATAAGTCTTCATAACTCAGCAATGTTCTAGCTGCCAGTGTACCATATAAAGCCCTAATACAATAAAATATGTTAATTCAATACAGTATTTTAGATGTAAAGGAAAATACATTCGTTGGTGTAAAGGTTTCATTGCTAGCACGCAATGTGTCACTTTCTGACAATGAAATGGGACAGCTAATCCACCCAATTTCTAATCCTGTGCAAACCCAACAGGGAGGAAGGGTTGTCTTGCACAGGGACTGGGATTTGGAGTTCCCACAATCTATTCTTGACTTGCTGTGTATTGTCTGGCAGTGAGTTAACTTTTCCATGCCTTCGTGTACCCATCCATAAAATGTGGCTAATATATTGATACTGTATAAGATGTCTTGAGGGTTAATTGATGTTTGCAAAGAAATTTAAGAACTTTGGAAAAAGTGATAGTTAGTGATAGTTCAGTACAAATAGCAGATATCTTCAATCCATCTCCTGTTTCACAGGAGCCCGCTCAAGGAGACATGGATGTCATGAAAACTCTTTGATTGGCTTTTATTTAACAAGCGCTGTGCTTTCCTGCTGCTGATGGCAGAGACAGTTGTTCCCAAGCTCTGCTTATAGCTTTCTTAAATGTTCTTTTGCTTTAAGTAATGCAAAATCCTCATTCCAGAAGAAACTGACATTAAAACAGGATGTAGATACTGCTGTGATAACCAGTTTTTCAGTACTTTCAACCCCATCTCCCTTTATGGCAGGATTTCTCTCTTCCATTTATTATGCCCTGTGCTGTGCAAGCATATTTGATATATACATACCAACATGTGTCTGCACACATACTACATTGTGGAGGAATCATAAGGTTCAAGTGTGTTGACTCAAACTATTTAATGCGGTGCAATAAATCTTGACAAGACCAGCTGGCAGTAGAGCCAAGCTTCTCATCTTTTTACCATTACAGTGAAATGTGAACAATAGTGGAAAGAAATATAGCTTTTATTTATTTATTTTAATTTTTTTTTTTTTTGGTGCAAACATAACATTCTATTCAAATCATCCACTTATACAGGTTGCAGAGCAGGGTGGATGTTTCAGAAAACGTGAAAGATCTAAAGACCTTTCTTTCTTGGATTTTTTTTTCTCAAATTCAGAAAACTTTTCTGACGTGACAGGTCACGCAAGCATGGTGAAAATCAGTATCCCAGTAACGTCCGTTGATCAGACAGAGCAGTCGTGTTAATGGTAGCCAGAGTGCATTTCAGGTCTGGTGTCAAGATGCAATGTATCTCTAGCTCTTTTCTGCTGGTTCTCTCACATCTCCTGGGTTCCTCCTCCTCATCACATTCAAGATGCCTCTTCTCACCATCAGGGCCTGCTTATCTGCTTTTTTTATATTATTGCATTGCCCCTGCCAACCATCACTCATTTGTCCATTTCTCACACAACGACTTTCATGCTTTCTCCCATGCGGCATGGAACGCTGTCTCCAAACTAGACTATGAGGCTGCAGCCCTGTCCTCATTCAGCGCCCCCGTCAAGACCTGCTTAGACCATGAAATCTTTGAGAAATTGCTAGCTGATTTGGCGAGATAGAAGTTCAGCAGCGATTGCCGATGTAGACCATATTCTATTTATTTGTATGTTATTAAAAACAATGAAGTGACTCACTGGTAGCTCGACTGGGTATATTCCTATGAAAAGAAATGTGTTTAAATGATGCACTTTTTTCATGCATCTGCATCCATTGATCTCTTTCGTGTCCCGTCCCCCGGTTCAGCGTCAATTTCTTCTTAAAAAATAATAGATTGAAAACCAACCAGATGCCTCTGGATTCACATTAGAGAGACTGACCGAACTTTACAGTGTATCCCATAATGATAGCTGACATCTCCAGAAGCAATAACCGCACTTCTTGGCCTTGTGATTGCAGCATTTGATGTGTGCTGGGCTGTGGTGCTTGGTGGAAGGAGACACGTCTTGTAAAACCAAGCTGGATCCCCCTCTGGATGGCACAGAATGTGGCGCAGACAAGGTAATCCAAATGCTCCGCAGCTGTTTTGCTTTTTATGGTGTTGTCTGCGGACTGATGTTTCCAGGATGTGAAATATATTTACTAAAAACCCATATTTTGTTCTGATTGATTTGTACAAGCTGCTGGATTAACAGCTGGATTAAATGGCATTCAGTTATTTTTCTTTTCTTTGATGTGTATTGCGGTAGCCTCTGGAGATCGCAACAGAAATCAAGACCCCAGTGTACTAGGTACAAATACAGAAGAAAAGGTTGTCCCTGCCCTGAAGAATTTACAGTCTAAGGACCACCTGTAACTCGTCGTGTAGTGAGATACTCTTCAGTTCCATTCATTTCAATGGGACTCTTTGAGGAGAACGTTACTTTTCAGGGTGAGTTAGACAATCTGGCCCTAAACTTGAGACATGATGTAGCAGGTAGGTTTAAACAGACACTTTGAGGAAGGGCAAGAGTTATGCCAATATAATGACACAGTTACATAAGGTAGCTCGTAATGAGTTCCAATTCAGTTAGGGTTTTTTTCTTTAAGACCTCTGCCTAGGAATATTTCTGGGTTTAGTGGGCCCCGCAGACTTAGCCAGATGGCTAGGGCATATTTGGACTTTCCACAGTTCAGTGTGGTGGAGAAAATGGTTAATGGAAAAGAAAATAAACACCTGTATTAGCAGGTCTCTATTGCATGTCAGTCATTACCCAAATACCTGACTTCCATGCTAGAGCATTAACTGTCAGTAGATTTTAGACTTGAAATTTCACCTGATGAGGGAGATGAATTTAGGGAGTTGTTGCTAAAGCTGGAAACTAAGTATCTTTTTTTCTGGTTGCATATGAAAGATACATAAGTTAATTAAAAATTCTTTGGTACTTACTGTTAAGTGCAGGAGATGGAGAGAATTTTAGCCCATGTGCTTTTGCTGAATACATGAGCTCCAAATGATTCTTAATTATGTACACTTTACGTGGCTTGCTTAGCAGTATTTATTGTATTACATCCCACATAGATCAAGAAAATGGACCAATTCAGCCCTTAATACAACCCAGTGCAATCCTGTTGGAATCACTAAGGTTATATAGGAGTGTACCTGAGTTAGGCCCAGACTGTTTCAATGATGTATGTGCAGTAAGGAACCATTGTAATGAAGGTGTTGTGTTTGGATACAATTTCTTGAACCCACAAAAATTGGTAAATAAGAGGTAAATGACAAAGAGGACAGGTCACTGGATATCTTGGTAAATTGGGTGCAAGCAAGCAGTGTGCATTTTAATACAGATAAATGTAAATGTATTCATGTAGGAACTGATTGTAGCTGATACTTACATAGTGGGAGACTGTATCCTGGGAAAAGGTACCTCTGAAAAAAATGTGGGGGTTGTGGTGGATAATCAGCTGACTGTGAGCTCCCAGTGTGATGCTGCAGCCAAAAGGCCCAATGAGATCTTTGGATGCATAAACAGAAAAATCTCAAATAGGAGTAGAGAAGCTATTTCATCTCTGTTTTTGGCACGGGTGTGACTGCAGCTGAAATACAGTGTCCCGTTCTGGTGTCCACAATTCAAGAAGGATGTTGATAAATTGGAGAGGGTTCAGAGAAGAACTACAAGGATGATTAAAGGATTAGAAAACCTGCCTTAAACTGATAGACTCAAGCAGCTCTATCTAATTAGCTGAACAAAGAGAAGGTTGAGGGATGACTTTATTACAGTCTACAAGGACAAATATTTAATAATGGGCTCTTCAATCTAGCAGAGAAAGGCATAATATGATCCAGTGGCTGGAAGTTGAAGCTAGACAAATTCAGACTGAAAATAAGGTGAAGCTAATTAACCATTAAGCAAAGGTCATGGTGGGTTCTCCATCGCTGCCAATTTCCAAAACAAGATTGGATGTTTTTCTAAAAGATCTGCTCTAGGAATTATTTTGGGGAAGTTCTATGGCAGTGGTTCTCAATCTGTGGGCCGCTTGGAGCCCAGTCAGCACACAGCTGCGGCCCATGGAACATCCTCAGGGCCATACAGGCAGTATATATACTGTGTGAATGCAGCCCACATAACACACAGGGATCTGCATGTGTGGCCCACAAGGGCAAATAGGTTGAGAACCACTGTTCTATGGCCTGTTCTACAGGAGGTCAGACTAAATGATCCAATGGGCCCTTCTAGCCTTGGAATCTATGAATTACTTAGGTAATCGTCTGTGTTATTGTGCAAGTTACAACAGAGGGCTCCATCCTGCAGTCACTGTAAACCCTTTTGGTTTACACTGGTTGAAGACGAAGCTCAGTTTTCCACATGTCACTTCCTTTTTTCCAGCCATAACCAAAGCGTGTCCTGCTTTCCTTAGTTCTGACGCTCCAAACGCTTGCACGCATGCGTGAGTGTATGCTTGGGAATAGTCTTATTAACTCCATGCACAAGTGTCTGCAGGATCAGGGGCCTTTGCCTGTGCTGTGCTACCATCCTTGTGTTTCAGTGGTGCCGAGCTGGGGAATGCGTCAGCAAAACTCCCATTCCTGAGCACGTCGATGGAGACTGGAGCATGTGGAGTCAATGGAGCATGTGCAGCCGGACATGTGGCACCGGTGCCCGATTCAGACAGCGGAAATGCGACAATCCTCCGTAAGTCGTCTTGTCCTCATGACGCTTTAACGTGCAGTATGTTGGGAAATGTGGCTGCAAGGGTGGCAAAAAAGGGTCAGGCACACAGTGGGCAGCTAAACACAAGGGCGGTGGGGACCATCTCAGGCATCCTATTGTCCCAAGTCGAACACAGACATAACATGAAATGAGATGCTGATTGGAATGAAAATGAAACTGTATTTCCTCTTGATCAGTGCACAGGCTGGGTCAGGGCTAAGCTGTGCAGAGACCTCTCCATACAGACCAGGGTCTCTGGTGGGAGAGGAATGGAGATTAGATGGGTTTGTTCCCACATCTATAAAATGGTCATAGTGATACTTCTGAATGCAGAAGTCAGACTGGGGGAGGGAAAGATACTCATAATATGATGGTATGCGCTGCTTGGCTCCACTCAGTGGGGCTTGAATATCTCCAGGGCTGGTCCTTGGGCTTGCTGCCTCTTTGAATCAGGAAGGTAAATAAGTGATGGTATCTCCTAAACACCAGCCACTTGTGGCACCAGAATGAGCCATCATCTAGGGCATGTTTTTCAATCCGTTGGTCGCGACCCAGTACTGGGTTGCAGCATGTAAGGCGCTGGGTTGCCTTGCTGTGATCAGCACCACCGACCGGGACGTTAAAAGTCCCATCGGTGGTGCTGCCCGGCTAAGGCAGGCTAGTGCCTACCTTTTCTGACACCGTGCTGTGCCCTGGAAGTGGCCAGCAGCAGGTCCGGCTCCTAAGCAGGGGGGCCACGGGGCTCCGTGCACTGCCCCCGCCCTGGGCACTGGCTCCAGCCAATGGGAGCTGCAGGCAAGAGTCACACGGAGCCATTTGCGTGCCTCCACCTAGAAGCCAGACCTGCTGCTGGCCGCTTATGGGGTGCAGCGCGGTCTGCACCGCTGACTGGGAGCCGCCAGGGGTAAGTCCATGCCCGTGCCCCAATCCCCTGCCCCAAACCTGGAACCCCTTCCTGCACCCCAAACCCCTCATGCCTGCACCCCCAGCCCAGAGCCCTGACCCCCTCCTGCACCCCAACCCCCTGCCCCAGCCCTGAGCCCCCCTAAACCCAGAACCGGTTCCTGCACCCCAA